AGGTTGAAAGTTATTTTATTTTAGGAGATTAAAAGTCGATGACCACCTCCTTCTAGCTTGAAAAGTTTCAGCAGAGAAATCTGCAGTCATTCTAATATTCTTCCCCTTGTAGGTTATGGTTTTCTTATCTTTGGCTGCTTGCAGAATTTTCTTCTTCATTTTAACTTTGGCATAGTTAAATATAATGTGTCCAGGAGATATTTTATTTGGGTTGAGTCATGCTGGGGTTCTGAAACTGTCTGCTATCTGATCAAAATCTCTTGGCATGTCTGGGAAATTCTCCTTCATTATCTCATGAACTAGGGCATCTGTGCCTTTCAAAGCCACCTCGTCACCTTCAGGGATTCCTAAAAGGTGAATATTACTTTTCTTTGAATCATCCCAGAGCTCTCTCAGTGAATGATCCATTTTTGATCTCCACTTCTCTTCTTTGAGCATTTGGGAGCATTCAAAAGCTTTGTCTTCAATGTCAGAAATCCATTCTTCTGCCTGTTCCATTCTTTTACAGAGAGATTCAGCTGTATTTCTCAGATCTTTCAGGGCTGAAAGTTCTTGTTTCAATGTGTCAAATCTTTGCTGATTTTGTCTTTGAATTCATTGAATTCTTGAGATAACTTTTGAAATGCTCCTTGAATTTCTCATTCCTTCTTTACCTCCATTCTATTAATCTTATTTGAAATCTAAATTCTGAATTTGATTTCTGACATCTTAGCCATTTGTTTATGAATGGGATCTTCAGTTGTGTCTGCTGTGTCATTCCTTGGGGGAGTTGATAAACCCTGGCTATTCATGTTACTGGAGTTTTTGCACTGATTCCACCCCATGAATATTTTACACTGTTTGGCTAGATGAGCAGATAAGGTAAGTTGGGTTGGGGGCTTCTAGAGTAGTGATTAACCAGCCCTTTGCCCAAGAGCTGGGACTGGTGTCTGTACCTTTTCTCTTAGAGCTTTGCAAAGGACCCATACAGTGCTATAGCCTGAAATTCTGGGGTCCTGCATGGTGTAGTGGGGCCAAGTGGCTCTGTCTTGTTTTCAGCTGGTCTCTCTCCTACCCTAGTGAATCAGTTACACTGGATTGACGTCTCAGCTGTGAAGAAATATCAGCAATTAATTCACCCCACTCCCCCCACGGGCAACAACTGGAAAAGGAAAATCAAAACTTCCTACAATCACGCACCCAGGGTACCACTTTGGATAGTTCTCAGGTGATTGGCCCTGTTCAAGAGTTCCAAATTAATCGTCCCAGTCAGGACTGGTCTCAGATGGGATAGTTCAAAATGTCTCCGGCAACTAAGTAGCCGGGGTTTGCTGGCAGCTCAGGTATGACTTGCTCTGGTGCTCCATGAGGTCAGAAGGACCCACCCAGCAAATTAATTAGTCTGGGAAGGTTGATGCCTCCTTCCCCACCTTGCAGCTTTATCACACCCTGTCACTGGCAACCCCACAGGGCTGTGACCCAGTTCCCTTCAATGAGCAGATGTTCCAGGTGTTTGTACCTGCCTGAGTCACAGGGAAATCTACTGCTCCTTGGCTAGGCTGCTGCTCTCTGCCACTATCTGGCAGGGGGAGCTGAGGCCTGACAACTTTGGGTGCTTAATAGAAGCTGGGGTGGTTTACTCCATTCTAGCCCCGCCCCTGATTGATGTTACTGACACTTATATTTAGGCAGAAATTGTTTCTGTCCCACCTATATTTTCCTACGGATCAGGTACTATTAGAGTTCACAGAAACTGCAACTCAGCCCCAGTCTGTGCTGTTGCCTGGAGCTGGTGTGTCTGTCTCTGTTGCTTTCTGTATTGGGGTAGGCATGATTAGATTTCACACTCAGCTGTCCTTTTCTGCCTCTTCCTGCCTGCTTTTATCTTAGCTATAATCCCTGAGGGCTGGGTGCTGCTTAGGCTTACCAGAGCAGTCCTTCTGTTTCAGCCCTGCCCTGGGAGTATGCTATCTCTGCCGGAGTGTATTCTAGACTCCATCCCTGTTGTGCTCGCACAGGCAGGTACTGCCTCAGGTATACCCTTTACTCACAGAGCCTGCATTTCTATCCCAGATCTGTTCTGCCAGTGGTTTCCTCTGGTTACTCACAGAGGCAGGCAGTGTCTTTCCAAAATATCCCCAGGTGTTTGAGCCCTTTTGTTCCCAACACTGCTGCTGTTTTGTACTGTGGGGCACCACCTCGCCCTCTCCCATATGGTTCCCTCAGTTCACTGTCTTCTCCTTACTCCCATGCTGCAGAATTAGCACAAACCAGCAATAGCCCATGCCTTGTCCATACCTCTCAAGAAATTGCCCAAGAATCTGGACTCTGTGGGGGAAAGGCTTCCATACCTCAGAGTAAGTGTGGAGGGGAGTGCTGGGAGTTCAGAATTGCAGGTAGAGAATATATACAGTTTTATGCCTGGTAGGAGAGTCCCATGGCACACTGGCATGTCCTCTCTGGGGATGGAGTTCTGAGTTTTAGAGGGTCTCTCCTGTGGGATTAAAATAGGAGGGGACCTGAACTCTGCTCACTTGTTTATATGTAGAAAGTGTACTGCAAGCTATTCTCTTGTGGGAGGGGACTCGCATCTGCTTGGTGATGAATTTTGTACCTATTGTTTATTTCCTTAGGGTTGCAGCTTGCCTCAGCAGGGTTGATGTGTATTCTTCAACCTTCTCTCTTGGCTCAGCTCCTAACCATCAGCTTACTTGCTAAACTTCTGTCCTTTAACTTTCTTTCTGGATGGGAGCCTCTGTGGGAAGCTGGCTCTAGTTGGCCATCTTGCTTCTGCCCCCTACTTCTTCTATTTATTTATTTATTTATTTACTAACTTATTTTTGAGACAGGGACTCTATCTTTCACAGGAGCTAGAGTGCCCTGGCATCATCTCACTCCAACTTCAACCTCCTGGGCTCACTTCCCAAGTAGCTGGGACTACAAGCATGGGTCACCACAGGTGGCTAATTAATTTTTTTTTGTAGAGACAGAGTTTCACTATTGCCCAGGTTGGTCTCAAACATCTGGCCTCAAGCAATTGCCTGTTTTGGACTCCCAAAGTGCCAGGATTACAGGGTGAGCCATTGCATCTGGCCCAGAGTTTACTTTTTAATATACCACTCCCTTTATAATCTTCTAAATTTTAAACTTTAAAGAGCTGCCTACTGTCTGTGGATATGGTTCTCAAAAGTGGTTTTATTTGTTTACTACTAGAAGGCTTTGGTTTTTAGTTAAACCTAATATGGAACTAAAACAAATAAAACATCAATTGTAGAACTGTTTTGAATGAAAATAATAAAAATAACTTAAACCTCTTCTACTTGAACTTTATCTACAAAATATACTCTGGATTCTTCCATTGAATTTTGGAACATTATATAATTTCAAGTACAAATTATAAGGCATAAGTACAAAATTCCTTTTAGTTTTAGGATTTTGTTTTGTGGGCTTCTCTTACTAGAGTTAGATGATACCTTGAAGTGGTTTTGATTTGCACTTCTCTGATGACTAAAGATAATGAGCATTTTTTCATGTGTCTGTAGGCCATGCACCTATCTTCTTCAGTGAAGCTTCTGTTCAAGTCTCTTGCCCACAATGAAATGGGATCATTCATTCTTTTCTTATTAATAAGTTTGAGTTCTCTGTGGATTCTGGTTATCAAACCTTTATCAGAAACATAAGCTGCAAATATCCTCTCCCATTCTGAGGGCTATCTGCTTGCTTTACTTACTAACTACAGATGTTGGCATGGATGTGGAGAAAAGGTAACACTTCTGTACTGTTGGTGGGAATGCAAGCTAATACATTCCTTTTGGAAAGAAGTTTAGGGAACACTCAGAGATCTAAAAGTAGACCTGCCATTCAACCTTGCAATTCCTCTACTAGGTATGTGTCCAAAAGACCAAAATTCACTATGTTACAAAGATATTTGCATCAGATTATTCATTGCAGCTCAATTCTTAATTGCAAAGTCATGGAAGAAGCCCAAGTGCCCATCAACCCATGAATGGATTAATAAATTGTAGTTATATGTATACCATGGAATACTATGCAGCCTTAAAAAAGATGGATATTTTACCTCCTTTATGTTTACATGGATGGAACTAGAACATATTCTTCTTAGTAAAGTATCTTGAGAATTAAAGAAAAAGTATCCAATTTACTCAGTACTTTTATGAAACCAATTTATAATTACTCACATTTTCATATGAAAGATAAATCACAACTACAGCCCAGGTTGTAGGGGGGAAGAGGAGGGTATGGGAAGGGAGGGGGGAGGTTTGATTGTGGAACCACACCTATGGAGCATATTGCAAGGGTACATGTCATATCTAGTAACATTATGTCTTAACATAATAATTAAGTAAATGAGGTGAAACCCTATATTAACTAATTTGATCTAAGCATTCCAAGTTATATATAAAATCAGCACATGGTACCTCATAAATGCATTAATGTATACATGATCTATGTGTATATGACTTAATAATAATAATAAAAAAAAGAACAAACCCAAAATTCCTTTTAGGATGGTTTGGATCTGTTTACTATCCAATTGTTCCATGTATATTCCATCATCTTTGTGTCTTAGTATTTATAATGTTTAGTGCCCATGGTGCTATTTAACCATATTTTTGCTTTTTAAAATTCTCTCTGTATTTCTAAATGCTGCTCAAGCACTCCCTCTTCACTGAACATGTGAATGAATGTTTCAGAAATAAAAGAGTGAAGTATCCTTTTCTGTAACATTTAGGTATTTTGAAAGAGTACTGTTTCTTAATTTTGGAGATTACTTATGTACTACATTTAATTATTAGGAAAATGGATATCATTGCTTTATATTTATCATTTTTCAAAGTCATGAACTAAATGATTTTATGTATTCAAACAAAATGGGTCTAAGATTTTTTGTTGCTAATTTTATACATTAAGAGTATGAACTTAAATATAATATCCACATGACCAAAACTGATACTTTTAAAACATACTTTATTATAAATTTTACATTTGTTTTCTCTTAGGGCCTGCATCATACAATCCCGTTTTAAGGAACTCTTGCCCCATGCCCTTATGTGTTAATACATCAAAGCGCTTTGAAGTTTCCAAAGAGATTACTCCTGGCCCAACAACATATGAGGTTTGTCAATATTTCTCTGTTATCAATGACACAGATGTCCAAACTGTCCAATGATTGTGGTCCTTACAATAATATTTACAAACTTTAATAACTGGAGCTCTCTTAAACTGCACATTCACATTTGGGGGAGGGAGATCCACATTGTTGTTGGAACATATCTTTACTTTGCCAATTTCATTTTATTTTTTAATTTTTTTACATATATGTGTGTTTATTAGGTTTCCACTTTTTGCCTTCACAAAATTAAAAAAGGCTTAAAACTTAACAACAATAACAATGTTTAAGATAAGGACTAGAAACAGAAACCTCATAGAGAATGAATGAAGATAAATACATTCATAAAAGAAATCAGATGATTGCTGCAATGAAGTATTAAGCAATAATAATAATAGTAATGCAAGGAAAGTAACATTCACATTGTCAAATAAGAGTATGTCTATTATAGAATGCTTTGACTCTGAGGTTCAATATGGAGTCATCAATTAACTTCTTATTTTTTTTCCCGAAGTCTCAGAAAATAGACACTAATATTTATAAATAAAAGTAAAAGATAATTTCAAAAAAAAACAGATCATGCCAAATCTTATAGACAATAAAAAAAGAAGAAATACTTCAAAATCATTCTGCTTAATTTGGACACACCTGATATTAAAATTGGAAAAAATACATTATAAAGGGGAAATTACAAAATTTTAAATGAGGATGCAGTATCATGTATCCTAAACAACATATTAACAAGTTGAATTAAAATTTAATATTTAAGTAATGTACTTTAGTCAAAATTGAATCCAATTTATGTGAGAAATAGTCACTATTTTTTAATTTTTCTGTCCTTACCCTCACCCCCTCCCTCCTCCTCTGTCTGCTCTCCCCTACCCCCATGCCCCATCATGTCATTAATTGTCATTAATTGTCCTCATATCAAAGTTGAATACATAGGATTCATACTTCTCCATTTTTGTGATGATTCACTAAGGATAATGTGTTCCACCTCCATCTAGGTTAGTACAAATGCTGCAAAATCTCCATTTTTTCAAAATGGCTGAATGATATTCCGTGGTATACATATGCCACAGCTTGCCAATACATTCCTGGGTTGAAGGGCATTTAGGCTGTTTCCACATTTTGGCGATTATAAAGTAACTAGCTAACTTGTTTGTTTCCTTTGCTCCCTCATGTTATTGATATTTATTGGCTTACTATAACCAAGGATTACTGATCCTTTTGAAAATTTGAAAGATAGGGGAGAAATACACATATACCCATAACAAAAATATACATACAATTTTATGCTTATTAATCTACAAATGCTCACTTATGATTCTAATCAAGAACTTCCAAGATTACATTCCAAGCTATATGAGGGAAAATACTTAAGTAATTTTAGATTATTTAGGTATCAACCACAGAACCTGGCACAGAGCAGTATATCAATTGATATATTAGCAAAATGGATAATGCTATGATTATCTTCCCATAAATCACTAACCTTTATCTGGAAATAAAAGTTTACTCACTGAGTTAGTTCTCAGACAGAAATGTGTGTGTGTATATATATATATATATATCTGTGTATATATATATATATGTATATCCTTTTAAAATGGCAGTAGGTTTTGATGATTGATTTACTTTCTTTTGTTGAATAAGTCTTTTGACCAGAAAAATATTTTTAATTTAGGCTTAATATTAATTTTATCAAATTTGAAATAGATTATTATGTGAAAATATTAAAAAATCCTTCAATATATCTAACTTTATTAAATTCTTTATTTAAACCTTAAAATAATTATTTAAATACATCTCTCTTCAGAACAACACATTCCACTGAAATTAATTCAAATTCTATTATGTAAGTTTATTTTATAAATATAATTTTTAGTTTTGACACATTATATAATTTTATGAAAAGTACCAATAGGAATGATTTTCAGAGTGAGTTTTTAATTTTTTTATGTAGAAATGGCCCAATTGGGTAGGACAATAAGAATATGATAAATTATTATATATCTATAGTATTCAGAGAATGTAATCACATTTTATATTAGGTTTTTATTTATATTCAGTTCTGAATTTAAAAACTGAGATTCTTAGGATTTGTTACTACAGATTTAAAAAAAAATACATTTTAATATAAAAATATTGAGGTCAGCTATATTTTAATATGAAATTTATTTGGCTGTGATTTATATAAACCCAAAATTGATGCATATGTGTGTGTGATACTATTAATACTATAGAAAGTTAACAATTGAGTCATTTATTTTCTATTACTTTGAAATTCTTTGATCAAAATTTTGTATTTGTAACTTTGTATTCAGACTTCTATTGCATTTTAAACTGTTACATTTCCCCTGAATATGGAAATTTGAAAAAGGTACAAGAAAAAACTTTACTCAGTTAATTTAATTTAAACTTCTATTCAAGTAGCATAGAAATTAATAAATATTTATTGTATGAAAATAAATCTTACTGTAATTGAATGAAAAATTTCAAAGGGAATTTATATTAAATTTTTAAAAAAAATTTTGCAATTGCCATGGAAGTCTAATTTATAAATATGAACCCTGTCTGATTTAGGCTCTGAGAATTCAAAAATGAAAAATCTGTGTTTTCAAATATGTGGCCATCTGGTAAGGAGAAAAAGATGTAAATAATCTAGTTACAATAAAATAACTATTATATTAGGAATAAGTAAAAGGTACCAAAATGGTGGGGTAAGTAATCCTTAAGTCATTCAAAAGTAATGAGAAATTTAGGAAATATTTTATATGAAATATGAAAAAATAATGGGAGTTTTTTATTTAGACAAGTCAAGGGAGAATATTCTAAGCCAAGGAAACAATATGTCCAAGGTCAAAGAAACAATAGAGAATAGAGCATCCTTGGTCAGATTTTATTATTAGTATTATTAAATTATAAAATGAATCAGATAATATTAGGTGTGTAGACAGTATTTGATAACTAAATATACTAAAAAATATGACTTTTTTTTTTTT